GCGTGGAGACGCGAGACTGGTTGGGCACCGTCGAGCCCCGCAACGTTCGTGCTGTCATGAAGCGTGTGGTTGAGGACATCACGGCCATCGATGTCCAGGTTGGGGCAACACCAGGAGCCCGGGGGGCTGGGTGGGGCCTGAAGTCCCCCGGGGGGCCCCAGACGGGGGGTCCCAGATGTCCCAGAGGGTCCCTGAAGAGGCCCTGAGGTTCCCATGAGGTCCTTGAGGACTTTAGGAAACCCCCAGAAGGCCTCTGCGGGAGTTCCTGAAGTCCCCTGGCAGTTCCCAGAGGGTTCTGGGCAGGGGGCTAAAGTCCCTAAAGGGTCAAGAGGGGATGCCTGAGGTCCCTGTATGGTCTCTGAGGATCTTTGGGGGGTCCCGGAAGGGTTTGGGAGGGTCACAGAGGATTTGAGGGGTCCTGGGTGGTTTGGGGGGGCGTCCCAGAGGGTGTTTTGGATGTATTCTGGGATACCATCACTGAGAGGTGCGGTGCTGCAGGTGGGGCAGCTCTTCGAGGAGGGCGTGCGGCGGGCGCAGAGCAGCGACCCGAGCCGGCGCGCCTTCTCTGTCTACAGCAGCTCACGAGCACCCGGGCGCTACGCCCCCAGCTACACCCCCAGGTCAGCCCCGTCACCCAGGCCACCTCTCAGCCATACCCTAGACCCTCCCTGGTCACGCCCAGGGTCACCCAGTCACCCCCGTGCTCCCTGTGTCACCCCTGTGGTAGCCACTACATCTTCCCCACGACCTTCTTCATGACCCCAAACTGTCCCAACATTCCCTCGTGATCCCCATCCTCCAACCATCACCATGTTCCCCCTGACTGTCCCAGTGTCCCCTGATAGTCCCCATGTGCCTTGCGTCCCACAGTTGTCTCATCTCTCCATGTCCTTGACCGTCCCCATGTTCCCTGCCCGCCCCCACATCCACCACGCCTCCTCTTGTTCCCCTGTCTTTGTGTCCCCAAACGGTCCCAATATCTCCTGATCGTCCCTTCGTCCTCTGACCACCTCTGTGTCCCCATCCCCATGTCTTCTGACTGTCCTGGTGTCCCTGCCCCCACACCCCCTGATTTTCTCAAATATTTGACTGTCCCGGTGTTGCCATCCCCAGCGCCCCCATGGACACCCACCTGCTCAGCAACATCCAGAAGCTCTTCTCCGAACGCATTGACATCTTCAGCCCCGTCGAGTTCAACAAGGTGAGGCCATGGGGACATCCCTGTGTCTCCAAGGGCCCCGCTGGTCCCCCTGTCCCCAAAACTGCCCACCTTCCTAGCTGTCATACATCCCTGCTGTCCCCAGCAGCTGATGATCGGGACAAGGGGTGTTCCCACTGTCCCCTGATGCTCCCCTGTCCTACGTGTCAGGACTTGGGGTCCCTGCGGCTGATGACCAGGGCTAGGGTGTCCTTGTGTCCCTATGCTGACTTGACTTGGGGCCTCCCTGTGCTCCCAACAGCCAGACCAAGGGTGTCCCTGTCCCCCTGTGCCACACGTCCCCTGTATCCCACTGTCCCATGTGTGCAGGCTTGGGAATAGCAGCCAGGACAAGGGTGTCCCTCGTGTCACCCATGTGCCCATGCTGATGGGACTTGAAGAACCCAGGCTGAAGGAGCCCCCCTTCCCTCGTGCCACGTGTCCCCAGATCCCATGTGTCAGGACTCAGGGGATCACTGGGGACTGGGGACCAGGATGACAGTATCTTGGGAGCTGATGGCCTGGCGAGGGGTGTCCCCACATCCATGTGCAGATGTGGCTCAGGGCCTTCTTGCCCTGGGGGCATCCCTGTCCCCCTGTGGTACATGTCCCTGATGTCCCCACATCCCAGGTGTCGGTGCTGACTGGGATCATCAAGATCAGCCTAAAGACGCTGCTGGAGTGCGTGCGGCTGCGGACATTGGGGCGCTTCGGGCTGCAGCAGGTGCAGGTGGACGGCCACTACCTGCAGCTCTACCTCTGGCGCTTCGCCGCTGACGAGCGGGTGGTGCAGGGGCTGCTGGACGAGGTGGCTGCCAGCGCTGCCCACCGCTGCCTCGACCCTGTCCCCATGGAGCACAGCGTCGTCGAGCTCATCTGCGAGCGCGGGTAGGACACGGGGACACGCAGGGGCATGGGTTGATGTACAGGACACGGCATCACACAGCGGGGGGACACAGGGACATGGGACATCTGTGTCACCATGGGGCACAGCCGATGGGGACGTGTCTTGGGTCCTGTTACATATCTGGGGACAGACCTGTAACCCAAGAGTCCCCACACATACACAGGGAGGCTCCATGTGTCCTCCCTCACACGACAACACACAGGATGTCCCACATCCCCACACACGGCGACATGCAGGGACTCCCCATGTCGTCATCCTCCCAGCCTGGTAACACCCCACATTGTCCCCTCACCCCAGTGACATCCTCAATGTGTGCTGACGCTACGTGTTGTCCTTGCGGCCACAGTGACACACCATGTCATCCCCCCACCTTGGTGACATCCCCTCGTGCCTGGGAACGCCTTGGGCACAATAAATAAAATACGTGTGAGCTGTGCCTTGTGTCCCCTGCCTGTGCCTGGGGTGGGGACGGGACACAACAGGGACAGACGCCTGGGTCCCTGGGGGGGCAGTGGGGGTGAAGGGGTCGCCTAGATGCCTGTGTCCCTTGGCCACCTATGGCCCCATGGGGCAGTGGGGAGGCGGCAGACCTAGCCCCTTGCACAACCTTGCAGAAGCCAGAGCTTTGCTCTCGCGCTTCGCTCTACCTTTGAGATCATGACGCAGGCCTCTTGGAAAAGCATCAAAGGACAGAAGGCACGCGCTGAGAATTCGACACTGCCACCTCCCCAGCTCAGGTCGGGGGATCTCCCGTTGCCGGTGACTGCAGGCCCTTCATTCACCCTGGAGCGAGGCCACTTCTGTATCGGGCGTTAAGTAAGGTTGGAAACTG